GTGTTGCGCGGCAAACGGGGCGCTGACAGCACAATGCGCCGCCCATTGGCCACGGCGCGCCGCTCAATGGGCGCCCGGGGAGCGACGACTCATGATGAATAGCGAGAAGCGTCGGCCGTGCCGCCGCCACCGCCAGGCTTCGTCTCTCAAGACGTTAGCAATCGCACGGTAATGGTCATTGAATACAAAAATTAACGTGTGCATGTCTGTGCCATAAATACGTTTCAACCACTAATTCGATTTTTGGTATCAAATAATAAAATCAACAATTCAGTAATAAAATATTATATACGATTTACCTCACGCGTATATTTTAACATATTATTTTCAATATGCAATTTGGAAAGTGCATTCTAATATCACTTTCTCATTTCTCATAGCAGACATTAAGTTGTTGTTTTTTCAGTAATATATTAAAAATGGTAAGTATATTAGTAGCTATGGCTCAACATTTTTTGGGAGCCGATTAAATATCCTACTAAATGAATTTTGATTCATTTCTAAAGGACAATTAGGCTTCGAGTACAAGGTGAATATTTAAAATGAGTTCGGATGGTGGGACATAGTATGGGTGACGGGAAGAATGGGTGGTGTGGAAGATGTACATTGGTACGAGTAGAGGAGGCGGGTGATGCGGGTTGGCCAGGCTAAATTATGTGCATTTTACATTATAGTATTTATAATTCATTCATTTTCTCTGTCTAATAAATTATGACAAATAAATTCCCGAGTAATAGCGGGTTCCTTCAGCAAGTAGTTTGTTACGAAATTTTTATATTAATATTAAAAATTGAAAGTATATGAAACGGTAATCAGAAAATAATTAAAGTCTGGAGTTATCAAAGTTGTTAAGTGCCGAAAGTACTGCAATGTATTTTCTATTAAAATGTTTTAATTGCATAGGACTCTCACTGATTTTTCAATAAGCAACAGGGTCATTATAATATTCTTCATTCAATAAGATAGGATTGTGGCATTACTAGTTATAGAAGAATCCGCGAGAAAATGTAACTACATAATTATTTCTCAATCAAGGATTAGTATGACCTGTAATGCTGAAAACCATTGAGAATTCCTATCTTCAATAATTAAGGTTTTATTAATGTAGAACGAAAAATTTAATATTCCTATTTACACTTATGTTTTTTATTTATATACTATATTATTTACAATTTATTGAAGTTTTATGAATGTCTCAGTTAAATTACTATTTCTTTAAAACTAAGAATATTTCAATTAGAAACAAAAGTGCTTAAAGGTTAGGGGAAAAACATTGCAAACACTTCGTACATTTGTATTGATTACATTTCGATTGAATAGCTTGTCCTATAACGTGTCAAGCAAGTACAAAAATAGTTATAATTACTCAAGTCATAAAATATAAATGAAATAATAACCAACCTCTTTTAGGAACTTGAACGAAATACATCATTGGGGCTGCGGATCTAATAATTTTATTAAAATCTGATACTTTTCAGACACGTATTTCCTCAATGAGAAAAATGACAAAGAATAATACTCGCTTATTAATCCAAAGTGACGTTGGTATTAAAATTATTTCTGAACTGTTCATTTCTCACTTATAGCATTTAATGATCGAGAGTTGCACGTCAAGCTGTGCATGGCCAACAAGCACATTAATAAAAGGTATAATTTTGATGTCGTGAGAATTCACGGTTAATTGAACATTTATGGATGTAAATATCAAAGTTCATGACAAAATAATCAATTCTGTCAAATTAGAGGTTATTTTGTAGTAATCGCAGTATTAATTTACTTTATCTATTTTCTCGACAGAGGAGAATTTTACCGAATAATTTTACTTGAGTGAAATTAAAACTAATATTAATATTCTGATATTTTTCTTTTACGTTTCTCTTTGTTCTTGCAACCAAGATTCTTTTATTGTATCTGCCGAAGTTTAATATATTAAAACATACGTTGTCCAGGATATTTTAATGGATTAAGATCACTTTTCAGCTTCAACAGTTTGAAAGTGAGCCATTCCAGACAATGTGATTATGATTTTTAATACGTTTGTTTTACCTGCCCTAAAATCTGCGAATTTAATAAGGAAAGTAAGTTTTTAGAAAATAATTAAGCACAGGAATCTAGAATAAGCACTGGAATCTAAATAGTTTCTGCTATCAAAATGATTGCGAAAAAAGATGAAAAGTAGACTTTCTACTAAATTAGACACAGAAACAACCTTGTGATTTTGTGGAAATATGACACTTCTAGTCTAAATGTTTTCTGTTTAGTGATATAGTTCTTGGCCTCCATGTAAAATATGCTGTGTGACGTCAATAAAGACGTCAATCTGTTTATACTGTTTAGACGAAATCTCACATTTCGGCACGTATATAACGTATCAGAAGTTTTCTAAAAAATATATATTTTTCTGTACGTATTAACTCAAGCCTCTCAAACAGATTTACGCAGATTACAGCACTTTTTACCTCCCATCAGACTTTAACT